GATTTCAAGGTACTAATGCTTACATATAAAGCCCTAAATGGTTTAGGGCCTCAATAGCTGACAGAGTGCCTGTCCCCACCTAACTCTACTTGTATCACTCAATCAAGCCAGACTGGGTGGCTGAGGGGCTTAACCCCGAGAGAGAAGGGAAGGAGAGAACAAGAAACCAGGCCTTCTCAGTGGTGGCCCCTCATCGTTAGAACAGTTTACTCCCGGAGATCCGACTGGCACCCTCGCTGGAAATTTTTAAAAACAAGTTGAAGATTTGATTCTTCCAGCAGGCCTTCCCCCCTCCCATTACATAGCTTCTTTATCCCATCTTGGATCCTGTTTTCTTTATTGATCTTTATTGCTTTCATGAACAAAGTTATTTGAAAGCTGTTTTTATCATTACACAGTGGTGCCTCAACTTATGAACTTAATCCGTTCCAGAAGATGGATCGTAACTCAAAATGGTCGTAAGTCGAAGCACCATTTCCCATAGGAATGCATTGAAATGCAATTAATCCATTCTGGCTGAACAAAAAAAAATCACAAAGAAAAAAACCACTGCAAGACCCATTGGAAACACAATTAAGCCATTCCGGCCAAAGGGGGGAACAGAAGAGCAAACAAACCATCCATCAGAAATGTAAAAAATTAAAAATAAAAAAATCACCAAAATAAAATACTGCAAGACCCATAAGAAATGCAAAAAGACCCCCCCCCAAAAAAAACAGACTGCAAGACCCATCAGAAATGCAAAAAGAAAAACCCAAAAAGCAAACAGAGACTGCAAGTCCCATTGGAAATGCAAAAAGAAAAACTCAGAAAGCAAACAGAGTGCAAGACCCGTCAGAAAGGCAAAATAAATTCACCAAAAAGCAAACAAACCCTGCAAGACCCATCGGAAATGGGGGAAAAAACCCAAAAAACAAACCAACCCTGCAAGACCCATCACAGCATAGAAATATAATCCCACCACCCAGCCAAAACCCACGCTGAAAAGCCCACCCAGAACAGCCAGTTTTTAAAACGTAGAAAGCAGCACCTTACCATGCAGTCCGAAGCCTCCTCCAAACGCACACTCTCTAACCGCTGGGACGAAAGAGCTACAAAGAAGCATCCTCTTCGCCACCAACGATTAGCAATTTGAATTCCCCGCCTTTTTCCCTGCCTTTTTTCTGGTTGTAACTCAAAGCTCCAGTCACAAGTAGAAGCAAAATTTTGCGGCCAGAGCTAGTCATAACTCGAAATGCTTGTAAATCAGGATGGTCGTAAGTTGAGGCACCACTGTATTCTGTAAGCCACCCAGAGTAGATTCCCAAATCTAGATGGGTGGGGTAAAAATGGAACCAATAAATAAATAAATAATATAATTAACAGTCATTTCAGGCAAATTAAAAGATTCACATACAGTGGTGCCTTGACTTATGGACTTAACCCGTTCCAGAAGATGGTTGTACTGTAACTCAAAATGGTTGTAAGTCAAAGCACCATTTCCTGTTGAAATGCATTGAAATGCAATTAATCCTTTCCAGCCAAAGGAAAAAAAATCACCAAAAAAAAAATCACTGCAAGACTCATTGGAATCACGATTAATCCCCCCCAGCCAAAGGGGGGGGGGAGAGAAAAGCAATCAAGTGTGCAAGACTCATTGGAAATGCACAGAAAACAAAGGGAGCAGGTCAGAAATGCACAGAAAACAAGGAGCAGGTCGGAAATGCACAGGAAACAAAGCAAAAAGCAAGGGAAGCATGCAAGACCCATCAGAAATGGGGAAAAACCCTAAAAAGCAACCAACCCCCCCAGACCCATTGGAAATGGGGGGAAACAAAAAAAACCAAACAAACACACACTGCAAGACCCATCAGAAATGGGAAAAACACTCCAAAAAGCAACCCACTCCCCCAAGACCCATCGGAAATGGGAAAAACTCTCCAAAATGTGACCAAACTCCCCAAGACCCATTACAGCACAGAAACATAACTCCCCCAGTCCAAAACCACACTGCAAAAACACACAGAGCAGTTTTTTAAAAGCATAAAGCAGCACCTTACCTTACCAGGCAGCCTCCTCCAATCGCACACTCTCTAACTGCTGGGGTGAAAGAGCTACAAAGAAGGAGCCTTATCGCCACCTACACTTAGAAATTTGAATTTCCTACCATTTTCCCCTGCCTTTTTCTGTTCGTAACTGGAAGCTCCAGCCACAAGTTGAAGCAAAATTTTGCGGCCGGAGCTGGTCGTAACTTGAAATGGTCGTAAGTAGGGACGTTCGTAAGTCGAGCGAAAAATCTAGCAAAGTTATTATTACTGCTGAGATTTTCCCTAGATGATCTGCAGAGTTATAGTCAGATCAGTCGATGTTGCATAGCAAAAGCTGTTGCTGATGCTGGTAATATTTCTAACATCCTATGATCTTAGCAGGCAGAAAGCTCTCGAAAGACATCCGGCAGAGTCATCTAATGAGCAAATCACTTCTATCAGTAGAACTGGAATGGTCAGTTCCCTTCTCCCCTCATTTGCAGTTGTCATGCTCTCTCAAATCTGCTCAGTAGGCTTGGTGATCTGCAACAGTGTTTCAGGTGGAACAGAAGGTTGAAGGCAGTAGGAGGGAAGAAAGGTTTGTCATGCTGGTGGACATCCTTTACTAATACAGTGGTGCCTCACTTGACGAGGATAATCCGTGCTGTTGAAATCGCTGTTAAGCAAAATCCTCGTCAAGCGTAATTTAAAAGCCCATTAGAATGCATTAGAAACCGGCTAATGCGTTCTAATGGGCGAAATACCTCATCGTAAAGGGAAGATCCTCCATAGGGCGGCCATTTTCCGGTGCCTGTCTTGTTAAAAATGGCTCCTAAAAACAGCAGGGGGCCATTTTGAAAACCGCCGATTAGCTGTTGAAAAAACATCGTTTAGCGAAAAATCAGTTCCCGAAGCAGGAAACCGATCATCGCTAAGCGAAAAAACCCCAGTCAAACATTATTTTGTGGTCGCAAAAAATCATCAAGCGGATTCATCATTAAACGGGGTAATCATCAAGCGGGGCACGACTGTACAGTGGATTTATTCCAGCATACATGGAGAAGAAGAAATGGGAATGGGGAGGCTGAACTCTTCTGTGGTGAAAAGGTCTGCACAGAGTAGGCTGTGTGGAGTTGATTTCTCCTATACACACATACACTTTGAGCATCCGTAGCTGTACTATCTAGGCTGATCACGTGGCTTGAGGATCCGCAGCTGTACTATCTAGGCTGATCACGTGGCTGTAACATTTTTAATAACTGTGTTTCCCTGGCTATCTCAGCTGCTTGTTTCCCTGACAACTCCAGTGCTGGATTATGGCAGGAATAGATATCTGCTGTGAAAGATGATGCTGGTTGGTATTTCTTTCCTTGCTCCTTCAACCTCTTAAATTGTAAATATGCTGAAGGAATGTGTCCTGGGGATGATTCTACTCTAAAAGAGTCTGGGATTTCTAAGTGCAGCTGTCGTAGATTCTGGCAGCAAGACTGCTTCTCCTAGAATAGTACTACTGGGATAGTTATTTACCAAGATGCTTGTATCAGTAATGACAACATCTAAGAATTGCACCTGTGGGGAATATGCTACTCTGAACAGCATGCAGGTAACATTGCAAACAACTAACACCAGACAAATAATAATACCCAGTAAAGCGTTTGCTAACTCCTGACACTCTGGTATTGTTTGTACTCAAGAGTTTGAACAACGTACAAGAGCAGCTACTGGGAATTAAATGTTAAATATTTTGGCTTTAATTCTTCCCTTCTGCAATAAACAAACCGTTAGCAGAATGAAATGCTGCAGAAATAGTAGAATGTGCATACTGACCAAAAAAAATGCATCTATGTAAAGAAATTAATGCTACTAATTTTAAGTTACCATGGGGGAAAAGAAAGGTTGAGGAGTTAGCTTAGGCTGAAATATGTGCCTGTTTTTTGAACATCAGGAAGTGTATTAAAGTGGATGAACTGACAGGGCATTTTTTAGTAATGACAAAACAGTTACTTTATAGGCTATGTTCTTTTTGGCGATTGGTAAACCATACTCAAAGAATGCATATCAACATTTCTGGGACAGAAGTGTCAATGATCTTATAAATCACTGAGCTGAAGGAGTAGTGAAGATACTCATAAGATCTGTGGATGGCACCAAATTAGGTAGGGGGTGTTTGATGCCTTTAAAAACATTGAAACATTTGAAGCAGGTGCTCAGTCAGACCTTCCTATTTTCTGATAAATGTGCCATTTTATGAGAGAAATTCTAGAATATTAAGGCTTGAATCTGCTTCTTTAGATCTCATACTTAATCCAGGATATCCTTGTATTTTAAAGACTTATTTAGGGAGCTATATTTCCTTTTTTAAAAAATGCAAACAGAACTTATTTGTTGAAGTGAAGCCAATTTAATAATCACAGAAGTTCTTCAGAGAACATTGTACACAAGCAAATCATTAACAGGTCTCTCAATACATACTTTTCTCTTGCCATATAATTACCACCTTCTCTATCTGTTTACCTTAACCAGCTTTATCTCTATTAGTATCAGGAGCTATATTTCCTGTGGGGAAAAACCATCTGTTTAATACATAATGAATATGTATTAATGAAATGAAGCTTTCATATTGCATAGCAGCCAGCATTGAGGATGGAATTCTAAGATTTTAAAGCCTGGATGAATTTAGAATTGTTTGACTTGAAAATTATTGCTTCTGCCTATATATCAGAACTTTTCTAAAACTTGATACCTTTTGCTTAAAATTTAACTGTATAATTAATTATTACTGTACTAAAGGCACCTTGTATTATTATAATAACAAGATTATGTTTTCTTGACCCTTGAAGGTACTGCAAAGGATAATGAAAAATTCACAATCAATTTTTTTCATATCTTCACCAATTCGGAAGCCAGTGCTGTAAAACCAATAGAATCTTTGCTGAGCTTTTGAAATTCTCTTTCTCTAATTCCATATTGTATGTTTGTGTTTTCACCTTCTAGTGGAGGCGATAGTGGAGTTTGACTACAAGGCTCAGCACGATGATGAGCTGACAATCAGTGTAGGTGACATAATCACCAACATCAGGAAAGAAGATGGAGGATGGTGGGAAGGACAGCTCAAAGGCAGAAGAGGTTTGTTCCCTGACAACTTTGTAAGAGTGAGTACAAAGTGAAAACTGCTAACCATCATGTGTCACTGACTTGTGCTGTCTTGTCTAGATGCAGGTTTGCCATCTCAGAGATGCATATTTGTTCAAACTTATTTGTGAAATTAATATAAGACCAGTTATAAACACATAACACAGGAGCAAAATATATGTTAACATGCAGATGTTACAATGTTCCTACAATGAAAAAGGGGGGCTGTCCTATCTCTTTCCAGCTGTTTTGCCTCTCAGAATTGCCCCTTCCCAGGTGTCCCACCCCAGGAAAAAAAGATAAACATCTTGTGCAGAAGAAAAGGGATTTTGAATATAAGATGATGCAGGACAAGATTAAGCACTATCTCCAGCTGATGTTCTTCCGTTCTCAATGGCAACTTACTAATGCTTTTCCTTTTTCTTAAGATATGAATGTTGGATCAGTGCATATGCAGTATCTAGTTTTGATCTTACATATAGTTGCATTGTGCTCAGGCTGCACAAAATGAAAGCAAGGACAGTGCAGTATAGTGGACAGATTTGAAAGGAAAAGCATCTTTGGCTTGGGAGCATGTTCCCCTTAGATTTTTGGGTTCTCTAGAGCAGTGGTCTTCAACCTTGGACCTCCAGATGTTCTTGGACTATAACTCCCAGAAGCCTTCAACACCACCTCTGCTGGCCAGGATTTCTGGGAGTTGAAGTCCAAGAACATCTGGAGGCCTAAGGTTGGGGACCACTGCTCTAGAGCTTCTCAATCCAGGTTTGCTGCAGCATTCGGAAGCGACAGCTGCAGCCCAGTTGCTGTGCACCAACTGCACCATTATATGAAGTAAAGAAAACTGTCTGCCATACATGATGCTATTTTACACTCTCTTGGGATCTATCCATGAAAACTGCAACTGGTACAGGCTACTAATGATGTACTAACAGTACTGTGCATCTTGGGCTTGAGTCTTTAGAACTTTAGAAAACTTTTCTGTGCAGCGTTTGGTTTTGGGATATTCCACAAATAGGCTAAGCTTCCCTTTATAGATTTTCTAATGTTTCTGTAATTTTTTGTATATTAGCTTGTACTCTAGTTTTAGTTTTAGTTTTGTGTTTATGCTGTTTTATATAGTTTACCACTTCAGAAGTATTTGCTAACAAGTTGTATATGCAGTTTTCAAAACAAAATAAATACATTGATCTTCTCTGTCAGCTCCTTTTAATGTTAGAACTACAGTGGTGCCTCGCTTAGCGAGTGCTTCGCTATGCGATGAATTCGCATAGCGAGGGGGTCCGGGCCATCGCTGGAGTGTTCGCTCAGCGATGGCCCTTATGGCGATTTTTCGCTTTGCGATGATCGCTAAGCGATTCGCTTAGCGATCTTCGCAAAACGAAGCGGGGGAGAACAGCTGATCGGCGGTTCCAAAATGGCCGCCGGAAGGTCCGTGCCGCATTTTCGCGCCCTGCCCTCGCTTACCGAAGGCGCGAAAATGGCGGCGCTATGGAAGAAACATCGCTTAACGGTGAGTTTTCAAGCCATAGGAACGCATTGAACAAAGTTCAATGCGTTTCTATGGCTTTTTTAGTCCCGTTTAGCGATGTTTTCGCATAGCGAAGGTTAATCCGGAACGGATTAACCTCGCTATGCGAGGCACCACTGTATTTATATTGCAAGATGACTTCCAGAAAAACCATATTAGATCAGCATTTAAAGACAGCCAAAATGTTTGGATAGGTTTGTGACAAGTGGTACAATGCTGAAAACTGTGAAAGTTTTTTTTTCCCTGTTTCTCTTGAAGTAGCATGAGTGTTTATCTGGTCTACGTCAAACAGTCATCTTACCCACTACAGATAACTATGCTGAGAAACAGGATATGAAACAGAGTAGGGGGAATTTGAAGGTTGTGTTGAAGTTAGTATAAAATTTTTAAACTGTGAGTTAGTATTGTTAAAATGCTGTTTGGAATACAGTGAATAAAGTAACCTCATCTTTGTGCTATTTCATACCTGCACTGCACTTGATGTTAGCTAACATATGAAAGTATGGACAGAATTCATTGAACACCATTTTATTTGTAGCAAAATGAACATTGTCTAAAAGGTCATTCACAAATACAAGCCACCTGTTGCTGAGTGCAATCATCAGTTGATGAATATGCATATTTGAGCCAGTTGTAAAATAATTAAAAAATATTTGCCTTGCCTGAAGGGCCATACACAAAACTGCAAGTATTTGCTCAACCAGTCCTTCAAGATACAGTGGTGCCTTGACTTACGAACGTCCCGACATATGACCATTTCGAGTTATGACCACCACCAGCTGCAAAATTTTGCCTCTACTTGCAACCAGAGCTTTGAGTTATGAACAGAAAAAAGGCAGGGTAAAAAGGTGGGGAATTCAAATTGCTAACAGTTGGTGGCAAAGAGGCTGCTTCTTTGTAGCTCTTTTACCCCAGCAGTTAGAGAGTGTGGGATCAGAGGAGGCTTCGGACTGCCTGGAAAGGTAAAGTGCTGCTTTCTGCTTTTTGAAAACTGTTCTGGGTGAGTTTTGCAGCGTGGTTTTGGGCTGGGGGGGTTATGTTTCTGTGCTGTGATGGGTTTGCAGTCTTTGTTTTTTCGGTGTTTTTTTCCTTGTTTCCGATGGGTCCTGCAGGGTTTGTTTGCTTTTTGGGATCCCCCCCCCATTTCCAAAGGGTCTTGTATGGTTTGTTTGCATTTCATTTTGCCTTTTTTGCATTTCCAAAGGGTCTTGCATGGTTAGTTTGCTTTTCTCCCCCCCCCTTTGGCCAGAACGGATTAATCGTGTTTCCGATGGGTCTTGCAATGGTGTTTTTTTTTAAATGATTTTTCCCCTGGCCAGAATGGATTAATTGCATTTCAGTGCATTCCTATGTGAAATAATGCTTTGATTTACAACCATTTCAAGTTACGACCGGAGTTCCGAAACCAATTATGTTTGTAAGTCGAGGCACCACTGTACAGCAAAGAAAGTGATGCAGCTCATCTGTGACTGTTATCAGAGGGGTTTTTTTAAATTCATTTCCCATGCTCCTCTCCTGAAGATTTGTCAATTAAGTGGCTTGATTATTTTGCCACTTGTGATATTGAAAATTCAAAACAAAGACCAAATAGGGTTGCTTGAGCTCAGATATGCCATTAGAATGTGAGGATTGTACTGAATCATAGTAGATTTCTGGTAAATGTGTTCTGTTTGAACATGCCAACATCAGTGGTCTTATTTTTCTCTGGATGTTCTTTTTGCTCCAAATAGCTTGCAAAGTAGAATAGCAGTCTCACCAGGTGCATTGCCTGAGCAAACGAATGAGAGTGTGGCAGGATCTGAGCTGTTTCCGGTGGTTGGTGCAAATGCTGGCAAAGTTTTTATAAATGTAGCTGCAGACGGTTTGTGTGTCATGAATCATTACATCACTCAGGACAGTGCCTTGGCAATAGTGACTTTTAATATATAAAAGCAGGATGCAAGTCTTAAACTAAACAGTTGCCTTTTGTTTATACTCTCTGTGTAAGACAACTAGGTGTCTCATGGAACCTGAAAACATTTGGTCCTATTCCTTATTAGAAGACCAGATAGGTTGCGTTGAGCCATTGTCTCCCTGTCTGTTAAATACTGCCTAGATATTTCTCTTTGCCAAGAGGTCCACAGTGCTTTCCTTTCCTATACAGTTTAACCATTGATGTAAAGGATAGATGTGCCAGAATTCCTGCAAGGATTTAGAAAAAACTGGTAGAATGAAATACTTCAGTTGTACTTAGTTACTACCACATTTAATTATAGAAGTTGTTTGGCTATTCTGTCCTGCTCTGTTAGATGCCAGCAGGGTACACTCAGTATTAAATGATTTGGTATTTCTGTCACCATAACCGCCAAGAGCTCATATAAAAAATTGGTGCCCTCTGTTTGGCATATGTAGGTGACTTGTGCCAAATAAACCACTGAGAGCTCTTTGATTTGATTTGTAAAGGTCAAGGATTTTGAAAATAATGTGCAAGCTTCCTGATTTTGCTACAGTTCAGTAGGTTGTATAGCATAGTGTGAGGGTTCAGCTTTCGGCTCCACCTTCAGTTCAAAGAAATCAGTAGATTTCTGTTGGTTCAAAATAGGCGCAAGATTTATTGGTACATTTAACAATAAACAAGTTTCTATAACATGATTGTGAGTCTTTTCTCCTTCTGCCAACGAGTCTGGAAGCGGCTTCCAATCATCAAACAGGAACGGGTTACCATAATTATTATCCCATGGTCCTGGTAAATTGCTGGTCTGCCCCGTCAAACCTTCCAGCAAGGGCACGGTCTCGTCATCCTGATCACCATTCCACAGGGCTCATCTCTCAGGGTCTCGATCCTGCTAGGGTCCTCCCTGTAACTCTTCTTCCTCATCTCTCTTATTCTCCATTCCAGCCTTTCTCTCCTTTCTCTCTCCACTCTCTCTTCTTTTAATCTCCTCCTTCACTCTCTAGCCTTGGTTCCTCCCCAATAAGAGGGTCTGGGGGGGATCTCTCTTCTCCTTCTGTAATCTGCCTCCCCCTTAGGTACTTTCAGTCTCTCCCATAATCCCAGGGATCCTCCATCCACACCCATTCCTAACCAGGCCGCAATTAACTCTCTCTCTCCTTTTTACCTCCCCTGTTCCTGCCTCAAACTCCAACCTCTTTTTCCTCTCCTTTCCCACCTTTTCCTCCTGAACCTCTCTCATCGTTACTCTCTGTACACTGGGCCCTCGACATACGAACTTAATCCGTTCCGGAAGTCCATTCGTAACCCGAGAAATTCGTAACTCGAATCAGCATTTCCCATAGGAATGCATTGAAAACCATTTAATCCGTTTGGCTGTTTTTGGTTCTTAAGTCGAGGGGCGGTTCGCAAGTCGATTCATTAGTTCCCATAGGAACTAATGCAAAGCTGCTTAATCTGTTCCTACCACTAGGAGCAGAATATTTTTCTTTTTTCTTTTTCCCCCTTTTTTTCCTTTTTTTTTGTTCGTAACTCGATTCTGCGTTCGCAAGATGGGTCTA